GTGTGTGTGTGTGTGTGTGTGTGTGTGTGTGTGTGTGTGTGTGTGTGTGTGTGTGTGTGTGTGTGTGTGTGTGTGTGTGTGTGTGTGTGTGTGTGTGTGTGTGTGTGTGTGTGTGTGTGTGTGTGTGTGTGTGTGTGTGTGTGTGTGTGTGTGTGTGTGTGTGTGTGTGTGTGTGTGTGTGTGTGTGTGTGTGTGTGTGTGTGTGTGTGTGTGTGTGTGTGTGTGTGTGTGTGTGTGTGTGTGTGTGTGTGTGTGTGTGTGTGTGTGTGTGTGTGTGTGTGTGTGTGTGTGTGTGTGTGTGTGTGTGTGTGTGTGTGTGTGTGTGTGTGTGTGTGTGTGTGTGTGTGTGTGTGTGTGTGTGTGTGTGTGTGTGTGTGTGTGTGTGTGTGTGTGTGTGTGTGTGTGTGTGTGTGTGTGTGTGTGTGTGTGTGTGTGTGTGTGTGTGTGTGTGTGTGTGTGTGTGTGTGTGTGTGTGTGTGTGTGTGTGTGTGTGTGTGTGTGTGTGTGTGTGTGTGTGTGTGTGTGTGTGTGTGTGTGTGTGTGTGTGTGTGTGTGTGTGTGTGTGTGTGTGTGTGTGTGTGTGTGTGTGTGTGTGTGTGTGTGTGTGTGTGTGTGTGTGTGTGTGTGTGTGTGTGTGTGTGTGTGTGTGTGTGTGTGTGTGTGTGTGTGTGTGTGTGTGTGTGTGTGTGTGTGTGTGTGTGTGTGTGTGTGTGTGTGTGTGTGTGTGTGTGTGTGTGTGTGTGTGTGTGTGTGTGTGTGTGTGTGTGTGTGTGTGTGTGTGTGTCTTTACCGAAGTTCAGATTATGGGCGAAGGATATGTGAGGCTTGAAGATCTTTTGATCACCACTCTCCCATCTAGTGAATCTCCGTATGTTATAGTCCTATGTGGGTGTCCTGGCATTGGTAAGACCAGCTTAGTGCGCTTCTTGCTGCATGACTGGCTATCCACTTCTCCCTCAGTGTCTGGGATGAGGGATTTTGACCTTTTGATGCCAGTGGAATTGAGGCATGTGAGTAGCAAAAATGTTGAACAGCTGTTACGTGAACAGTTGATTCCTGAAACTTGCAGACACTTCCATCAAGATGACGTAGTCCCTATTTTACAGGAAGTATCATTGTTGTGGCTTGTTGATGGTTTTGATGAAGGCAATGAAGAAGCATTGAGGGTTACTGAAGAACTGTTGTCCAAATTCAAAAATTCAAGAGTTATAATTACTTCGCGTAAAGAATGTGTGAATGAGATTAAGCTGATGCTAAGTAATCATCATCTGACTAGTATGGAGTATAATATGGCTGGACTATATGATGAAGACAGAGAATTATATGTCCATAAACTCTTTAATGTTTACTCCCGTAAACAATCATGTGATAAAAGCCAGTGTATAGATTTCATAAATTACATAAAGAAAGAAAATCACCTAACACTAATCCTCAGTGTTCCACTTTACCTAGTCATGCTTTTCACGCTCTGGCTGGAAAATCCCACGAGAATCAATAGAGCTACAACTGTCTCTAGTCTTTTCCAGTTACTTGTTGATCACATTGTTACCCGGATGTCCAAGAGAAAGAAATTCATTACACTGAGATTTGCAGAGAGAGAAATCCAAAGGAAGATTAGAAAGGTCCTAAACAAATTTGGAGAAGCTTTTTGGGAAAATTCATCTCAAAGAAAGATTTGTCTTACAAAATATCAATTAGACCAGATGGAAGACATGTGTGAAAATCTGGGGTTACCGTTCAGAGAAACAATGTCTCCTTTTTTCATTGTGCGAATAACTGCTTCATCAATTGGGACAGAAGAAATGTACGAACCGCTTCACAGAACTGTCCAGGAGTTCCTTGCTGCACAATCTTTTTGTAAAGAGATGATTGAATCAGGTATAGATGTTTTGACTTTAGCAGCACAGTGGAAGGAGCAGCATGAACAGTATCTGGAAAATGTTGTTGAAACTGATGATACTTCGAGATCTCACCGTAGCAATTTTATGGTCAAGAAACTTCACGAAGCAAAATGCAGTTCCTTTGAGGATTTTGAATTCATAACAACAAAAAACATGTTTTCTAATAGACCTTGTTGTTATTTAGACATGGTTAAATCCTGTTCTGAAATGGAAGATCCAGACGAATTTGAAAGATATCTTATCTACACGTATTTCTCACCGATCTTTTTTGGAAGTTTGATACCAGGGTTTATGGTTGGGTACCTTAAAACACACAAGGCACTAACCAAAACAAGGTCAGAACAAATTGTGTATATTTGTATTTGTGAGCAGGGTCACATTAAACAGTACAGCCTTTGGATAAGGTTGATTAAAGAAGCTGAAGACGATCCAGTGATGGTAAAGGAAATTCAGGATCAAGTTGGTTCTTTTGAGTGGTGTCCTAGTTACAGATCTTGGATCAATGTTTTAGCATTAATGGAGTTTGTCATCCCTAAATCAATATCAATCCATGCATGTGATAACTATGATGCTAATATTGAAGCTACAGTGCATAAGATCTCCCATTTCAACACTGAACTTGTGCTCGACTTACGTAACTGGACCATGATGAATTATCTTGAACTGACAAAAAAATGTTTGACCGCAGCCCTTCATACAGAAGCTTTGTGCAGCGTCACATATCTCAGTTGCCGTGCTGATAAGCATATTTTGGAATTGCTTGCACGGGCTCATCATTTGGAGGGGCTTTCTGTACGGGTAGACACTCTTGAAGATCTGCAAAATCTTTCCAAAATCATTCTCACCCTGCCGAAATTAAAAGATATTTCAATTTTACCAATGTTCACTCTGTCAAATGTGCCTTATAGAGACCTACCAACATTTAGTATCTGTCACATGATTCTCGTTAAAAGCAGGTTGAGATGGAATATGCTTATGGGAGTATCGAAAGCAAGGTCGTTCATGTCCTTTTTTCGGTTTGGTTCAGAAACCTTCACACTAGATCTTCCTGCAGGAAAACTCCCCTCGCTCATGTGCAGAAGAAAATCTCCTGCACTTGCGTTTCGAGTGAAGCCGAAACGAGGCAGGCATTGTCAGAGATCCAGCTCTCCTTCAACAATTCCATACCCTGAACACTTGCAAATGTTTGAATCATCTATTGAACTGGTTATAAAATTATATGGATTGCCTTCAGCCCATTGCCATAAACGCTGTGTTTGGCGAAAGGAGGCCTCAGTCCTGTGTCCAAAAGAATGCTGTCACTCTTTTAGCTCCTTAGACATTCAGGTCCATTCTAATGTAAGAGGAAAGTCTCATCACATTAAGGCAATCAGGTACCATCGACGAACTTTAATAAGATTGCGTTCCTTATATAACACTCTGTGGAAGTTTCTCTGTGAAGTTTATAGAAGAAGTCGTGGTGCCTACAGGAGAATCTATGATCAGAATATCAGGGTAATGTGCATCCAGCTTTATGACCAAGAAACATGGGAGCACATAGTGGATCCTAACATTTACCTTCTGAAAGTTTGTGAATTACTAATGTATCAGCACCTCATATGTATCCAGCAACATAGAAGGTTCCTTATTAGAAGTAACCGTAAATTCCGAAGTGTGGAGCCTGTGAGATTAATAATTGTAGATGCATTTTCACTCGCTCCAAAGGATCTAGCAGCAGCTGTACACAAATTGTGTCAGAGGCCTATGGGGATTTATCTTCATGGTAGTATAGATGTGTCTGTAGGCCTGGACGATCTTGCAGAGTATGTGTGGCAACTCGGTATTGCATTTCCATATGCAGTTGAGATAGAATTTGAAATTCCAGTGTATAGATATGAAATGAAGAAGATACCTATGTTAAATTCCATAATCAGCAGCCTAAAACTACTTGTTGAGAAAAGTGCACCGATATTTCATTTTGATGCATATTTGACACTGGAGATTTAAAAGGAGAGGGAAGCTCATGAACAGTCTAATTAAATTAATAAGATATGTAAAAATATGTTATAATACCAGTTTACATTTTTTTTAATGTATATGCATATATATATATATATATATATATATATATATATATATATATATATATATACATACATACATATACATATACATATACATATACATATACATATACATATAATATATACATACACACACACTACACATACATATACATACACACACACACACACACACACACACACACACACACACACACACACACACACACACACACACACACACACACACACACACACACATACACACACACACACACACACACACAAACTTGTATGTGTGTGTGTGCATATATGTGTAATTTTGTATATATACTTACGCACATACACACATGTACATGAACGTGTATATTTGTATATATAGTAAATATATATATATTCCTTCTAGCTCATTTGTTTCACTTGCGGGAGATAATGGGAACACCAGAACATTTAAACTAATCTATTATGATAAAATATACCCATATATTAACCTATTCTACATAGTGTGACCAACACAACACTCACAACCTATATTGATGGAATAGTAAACAGCGGCATACAGATACACAGAGAGCAGGTAGCGTGGCGGCCAGCAGCAAGGTATGGTATCTCTGCGTCCGAACTTGATACTGAGGCTCGCTTGTGTCTCAGCACAATACCTCCTCGGGTGGGCACACAAGTCACGTCTCTTCTGCCCGGGGCTAGAATCAGGGTGTGTGTTTTCAGGGAACACCTCCCCCGCCCATCGTTAATTGCGATTATTACTGTTTTATTTAATTGTTTTTCCATCTTTTTGTTTCATAGTCTTATTTCCACCACCTTATTACTATATCCCTTATTTTTCTGTATTATTCTTGTGTCGGTCAGTATGACTTATTACATTAAAATGTTGGTCACGATTCCCTATCACTAATACTTATCATTTACTAGTTCAGAGTATTTAAATGTTAATGAATAATATATAGTGTGACATTCTTTGTAAGATTTTACCATAAATGAATCTCCGTTGCTTTAGATTTCATTCATCCGGGACTCACACACACTCCGATTCATTCGCTCATCCATACAGGCGCTTTTCCTTTGCCTCTCCCCCTCCCCCGCCCCCGGACATCTTGGCACCACACCCTCTTGTCTGCCTCTCCTGCCACACCCCTGATGCCAGGCTGGATGAGGAACAGGTGGAGGCGCCCCGATCCCCTTGATCCCCGCGACTCCCCTGCTCAGCGGAGGATCCTCACGCTGAGCCAAGAGATCGTGGTACTCGGATGTGGATCCTGATTTTGATGTTGTTATTGATGGTTATTATAACATCAATATGATCTATGTAGTGATGATTAGGATTCTTGTTCTGTCACGTTCTATCTCAAGATTGTGGATGAATGTCAGGTAAAGTGATATAGCATTTTTGTTTTTTTATTACATCAAACTAATAGAACAATAATGTCTATGGCTACTTACATACATGCGCACGCGTGTGTCTATACATATAGATGTGTGTGTCTGTGTGTCATCATGAATAAACCTTATCACTGCAGGACAAAGTCTTCCCTACTCATATTACGTCCCTGGAACCAAAGACAGGGATCCATTAACCTTACCTTAACCATCTTTTGTTTAGGTGAGAAAAAAGCGGCTAGAGTGAGATTAATAACCATGCTACACACACACATCTTCTCTCTCTCCTCCTCTCTTTCTCTCTCTGTCTCTCTCTTTCTTTCTCAATCTTTC